TAGGACCATGCGTTAATGAAAAAACAGTCCGCCCGTATAGCCCTTTCAAAAAATGGTGTTGTTGCTTGCCAGCACCTACAGCCGCCATTCTTAATCCAAATTGTTTCTAAAAATTTACAAACCATCTTCAAAACATATATAATAAGGCCTTTTTTATTCTGACCTTATAACTTGTACGATTATTACTTTAAAAATTCCCGAAAATCACCTTTTTTTTTGACTTCTAGAGTGGCGTTACCCCTTAATATACATACTATTATATGTATGTATGTGCAGGTTCTTTGTACCCTATGGATATAGAAATGTATAACAATTAATCAGAGACACTTTGAATCTATATTAATCTTATTACTAAAGAAAAAAAAATGGAAAACATAACATTGAAAAAACCAAGTCTAATGGGGTTCGAATCTGTGATCAAAAAACATACAGAAATTACGAGGCAGGAGTCCTAACCTCTCAGCCAATCCTTTCATTAAAATATCTTACGTTCAGGAATATAATCAACTACATACTAAAATTAATTAAGAAATGAACTTTATTACTTAAACTAATACATCATTTGTATTAATTATGAATATGAATCTATTTAAAATTACTGAATATATGTAAAATTCAAAGTGGAAAGTACTGTTTTAAAGGAATGTATTGGCTTTAGATTTTTTTTAACTACGGCGCACCTCACCGAAAAATCTGAAAAAATTAGAGAACATTAGTTATACTAATATGTAATTACCATATTAATATAAAAGTAGTGCTCCGACATCTTCACTAAAAAATCGCATTTTTTCGGATTTTTTTTCGGTTTTTGATTTTTCGCGACTACAATTTGCGATCAAAAAATCTGAAAAAATTCTATACTATGCGCTATGTGGACCTCAATATTTTAGAATTTTTTCAGAACTTTTGTACGAAGAATTTTGTACGAAATAAATAGTTTTGCCTATTTATAGGCAAAAAGGTCCAAAAACCGGAATTTCGTTTTTCTCCTTTTACTACATCCACGGATGAGATAGGGAGTTGAAACTTGGTGTGAGATGTTTTTTTTTGGATATGCTACCGACTGACGAATTGGATTTCTAATTCGACTCAAGGGCACATTTGACTACCTTATTCGGTTATACCCTTTAGTTGAATCGGTTGAATACTTTCTGAGAAAAAAATTCGTAAGTGAAGCGTATTTTCGCAAAAACGGGCAAAAATGACAAACTTTGAAGGCTTGTTATTCCTTAACAAATTCGAAATCGGCAAAATGATGACTCAAACATCCCTCCTAATTTCACATGGGCTATAACATACTTTGATTAGAGCAAAATCACAGATGGTGAGGTCCAAAAGTGATCGATTTGGCGTAGCATGACCTAGCTATCTTGACCAAATAATTTGTTACTTGAAATTGTAATTTTTATGTAAAACATTATTTGGTGTTATCAACATTTTTGAAGATATTTAAGTGGGCATATTTATCTAAGACATCTTGTACAATTTTTTGTACTTGTCGTGTAATTGATTATGGAATACGTTCGTAGATGTGTTACACTATAACCTTGAAATGACATTGATCTTCAAAAATTAAAATTTTATCATTATATAAGTATTATTACGTATTATTATAGACTAATAAACTCACTTTCATGATCAGCTGATCAGCTGATAATTCATACTGATTAAGGTAAGTAAATAAACGATGTGTAAATATTTGGTGTGGAAATTTGAATAAGCAAATAATTGCAGAAAGTAAGCACGCAAATAATACTCTTAGAAGAAACGAGTACATATTTGTGCAAAGTGAACTACAAACGCTAATACATAATGAACTATCTGAATATTCCATTCATTCTACGCGTCTTATCATACAAATTTCAAATTCACAATGTTAAATTGACGAGTACATTGTCTAGTTATTACTGGTGTATTCAATGCATGCGTGAACGTGTACAAGTATTTTATTTATATAGTAATTTGTATAAGTAATTAATTTAAAAGAATTGTAGCATAAAACGAATTACAGGCTCAGAAATTATTTGTCAAGAAGTAAATATGATCTAAATTATATCATATTTGGTCTCGTATTTATCAGAAAAATCTCATGAATAGGTTAAAAATATTTTCATTCAGAAAGGGTTAAAAATAAAAATGTTGAAATATTGTCTTCAATATAACATTTTATACGTTGGGATTTAAATCCCTCGGTTGCATCTAATCTATTTCTATTCGTTTCTTTTGCTGTTTGTCCTTTGTTTTAATACTATTTATCTTCTCCTTTGTTTGGTAAATTAAAAAGATGAGCTATGACGTCCAAATGTTTGAAAAGCGTTACAGATTTCATGACATTTCAAGGTTAAATTTTTACGAAATATGTACCACCCAATGAAACATATTCTATGTTATGATCTCTGAGCGTTTTTCTATTTTGGAGCTGGTAGTCTGGGCGTAGTCCGAGACCAACATGAAACAAGAGTTTAGTCTAGCTTTCCTACCGATTGACAATCTCCTTATTTGGTATGGCACAAAAATTTCCTAACCACTCAGGACTAAAGCAAGCGAGATTAATCTAATGAAAACTTCCCGTTGATCTGTTCCCACTGTTCCCACCACCGCTCATCATGTTAAAAAGAATTTTGCGATAAGTATCTCATAGTACAGTTTCCTTGTCAAAATATTCCTCGCATTTCTAGCTTTTAGCTACTTGAATTTCTCTTTAATAACACGTGAAAAATTGTTTCGCAAAAATTTAAACATTAAACAAAATTCAAAAGTTACTTCTGTCGAAAAGTTGCTACCGGAAACGCTGTATAAAACTGGAGCAGGCAGTAAGGATTCGTCGTGAATCGATGCAGCGCACAATGAAACTACCATTGTTCTTGCCAGTAGAAATCCGAAGGAGAAGCCGAAGTAAATTTTCTCAATAATACCTCGCATAGGGCTGTGAAACAAAAAAATATTAATTCTTCATTCAAAAAGTAATACTGTAAAAAGTATAGTCTTTGAAAACAAAGTACATGCAATAAAAGCTTCATTACCAAGTTATATTATAAAGCATTGAAAAGAAATAAAATATGATTATGTTTGTTAATAAATGAAATCATGTATTATACGGGGTGTTTCGTAACAAGTGTTGCTCTCTGGAAGGGGTGGTAGAGGACATCATTCAGAACATGATTTTCCTTTGCAAAATTATGGTTTGAAGCTTCGGTTTTGAATTATTAAGAAAAAACACAGAGCAATCAGAGCGTCAGGATTACGCGCGCTCAGAAGCGAGAGCGATAGCTTAGAGCCTTGCAACTGAGCGCGATCATGATCAAGTCCCTACGCATTGGGACAATCTAAACGTTTAATAAGAAGCCTTTACGTCAAAGCTCAGTTAAACAATGAACAGCACAATTACAAATAATGTCTACTTATTTATTTCTCGTGAATACGCGATAAGAAAATTTGAATCAGACTTACCTACTGTTTAAAAATAATCCTGTTCCAGAAATATTGTGTTCTCGTGACTTTATCGATCCTAATCTTTCGCAAAAAGACACATTACACAATATGTAATGTTACAACCTGGTCAGGGAACTCATTTTACTTCACTGTCACTTCTAATTGGTATTTTTAACTATAATATACTGCTAACACAGCTCACTAATTTTCTAATGAAATAACCGCAGATAAAGCATGCAAAAGAAAACGCATGAACGATTATTCATAATTAATTTTAGCAACTCTTTATTTTTTCTTTGTTGTTAAACACTCGACGATTTGTTCTAAACTGCCGAATGCAACGCGATGAATATCTTCGACGGAAAATTTAGACAACAGTCCCTTGCAACAAGGACATTTAATACTCGAATGAAAGTGAGAGTATACCTTTGCTTAGATAAAATAATTTTCAGAAAAAAAATACACCGACTCCGAAATGCACTAAAAAGTATAAAATAATTTCTATTTCCTAATGAAGTAATTTCTATTTCATTCAATCATACAATTACGTAACAGATATGAATGAAATCTATTTACTCGTTAGGTAGTATATTAAATACATTTCAACCTTTTCGGAGGCGGCGCATAATTAAAAGATTTTCTTGAACATGTCAACCTTTGGACAGCCGAACATAGGCAAAGCTTGTTTACCTATTTTTTTTCTATACATATAACTCGACAGTACGTCGCGAAGTAGGTGTTAGTGCGTATAGAATGTAACTATGGTCTATCGAGCCCTTTGCGGAGGGGACGGTTCGAAGTGAACCGTACCGTGGGCCCGAGCTCCTGCCGCAATAGTCATTAAAAATTGCCAGCGCATATTTCTGCTTAAACGCGGTTTTCGTTCATAGCATTCCAAGTCAAATTCTGGACATATTATATGTACATGCACAGATTTGCGTGCATGCACACATGTACGCGTTTCTCGGCTCTATCAGTTGTTTTCGCGGAACGCATAGTTAAGTTTCTCGGCCATATCCACGCATTTCCGTGGGACACATATGTGCGTTTCTCGGCTCAATCAATTGTTTTCGCCAAACGCATATATGAGTTCTTCGGCCAATTTGATGATTTACGCAGAACGCATATATGCGGCGGTAGACCGCAAAGGGCTAGATTCATAGAGTATGTGACGGAAAGACTCGATCGCCGCATATACTATAAAGATAGAGCCCATCTGCCGCAAATTTGGTAATTCCCGCGTCGTGAGCTCCGTTTATAGGTTCTTAGATCCATGGCTTCCACATGCGAACGAAGTCAATTCAATTTCATTTATATCAGAAACGTTGCGAAATGAAGATGCAGTCGTTACATTTACGTATATTACCAGATATATCTATAATGGTTCGTACTCTTTCTCAGGATTTATTAATTTCCAATACGCCATACCACAATCAACTGGTTATTGGCAGCAACGTTTACTGAGGTATTTTTAATT